TTAAGAAAATCACCATTTCACCGTTTTCATCAAGCTCTGTCTTCCATCACTATCAGCTCGTCCAAGACAGATAAGACGAATGCAAAGTGCATCAGATAGCCGGTACGAAGATTACATAGAGTTAAACTCGCCGTTAAACAGCTGTTCCTATCGTCAGCACGTTCCTCTTTCTTTCTTTCTTTCGTTCGTCTTTTTATTTCGATCGTAAACATCGGCCGGTTAGCGAAGAATCGAGAGACTTATCTCTAGAACGTCTCGGCGCATCAGCGCATTTTCTTCTCGTAAAAAGGTGCGACTACATCGAGGTAAGTGTGCCGGAAGTTAACAACGTCATGTACACTCGCGAAATGGGCCTTCTTATTTCTCCAGGGACGGTTGTCGGACGAAGCGAAAGATTCTTCTTTCTGTTCCTCCACCGCGAGTTTCTTCCTTTGTATCGATCGGCCCGCGAGTCGCTCCTCGTGATCGGAATTCAATCAGTTCCTTACGCGCCGGCCGATTCGTCGACATATGAATCCTATCGAGTAACGGTGAAATTTTGAGAATCTAACACCTTCCTCCTATTCTCCTCGATTTCACATCATCTTCCGCTTGTTCCTTCGATTAGGTTTGCGAGGCGATGTAATTTGTATCGTGCACTTTTTCTTTGGGAGATTATGGTAGCTTGTTCTTTACGCTAATTGAATTTGTGGGAACGGAGGGACTGTGACTGATTAAGTCGATTCTTTATGATTTGAAACGCTAGGTTGTAAAATTTCGTTTACGCTAATAAGGGAATATCTCGAAGTCGACTGTATTGATGAAAATTTGGTGTACGGTTGGACTCAGAAAAATATTTGATACGTATTTCTTTTTTATTGGAAATTGTTCACGTTGAAGGAGTGAAAACTGTCTTCAAAGATGAGAGTAACAAACATATTTCTCGAAAATTAGTAGAGATTGAGAAATGGCGTAAACTGACGAATCGTGTATTTTTCAAGGATAAAATTTGAAAAACACGTAATTTATAATTTTTTATTTTTCAAATTTGTCGTCCTCAGAGATGAGAGCAACAAACATATTTCTCGAAAATTATTAGAGAGAGAGAGAGAGAGAGAGAAGATAAAATTTCTAATTTTCTATTTTTCAAGGATAAAATTTTAAAAGTACAAAATTTCTAATTTTCTATTTTTCAAATTTGTCGCCCTCAGAAATGGGAGCAACAAACATATTTCTCGAAAATTATTAGATAGAGGGAAATGGCGAAAATCGACGAATCATGTATTTTTCAGCGACAAAATTTGAAAAACAAACAATTACAAATTTTCGTTGAAAGATACAAAATTCGTCAATTTGCACTATTCCTCAATCTCTAAAAGTTTCCAAGACATTTTTCCACGTTACTTTTCACCCTCCAATCGTAAAAAGTACACCTATACCGAATATTTTTTTGAGAACTACAATGACTAAAATTACGAAGTGTAATTTACACAGAGTGCAAGTATTATTGAATCGAAGTCTGATAATTTCAAATTCAGAAAGTATCGAGATGGCATAGAGGATATTCATATATTTCCAACGCAGAATTTTTCCGTGCATTTTGGGTTTCAAGGGGAAACAGTTCGTGCAATTTGAGAAGAGCAAGATAGGGATTAATTAACGATAATTGGGATCGATGTGGTTGGATGGAGGATTGGAGGTCTGGAAATACCTTGTCGTTAGCGAAGTTTCGTCTATGTTCAAGCATGAGAGAGACTCAGTTGTTCTCTTGGTTTCGAAAGGTGCTCTAAGAAAGCGATAGAAAGGAGACAAGGACAAATTTATACGTATTAATCGGTGAATAAATTGCTGCTTGCCAGTCATTAGTAAAATATCGAAGCACTTTGGAATCAATTCCAGCTAGTTAATCACTCTTAAAGGCAATTAGCCATCCAGTCACTCGAGCATCTCGGTTAGTTATTAGTTGGTCCGCTAGTTTCAGAGCAATTAAGCTCATTCGGCATAACTAAGCACGTAGTTGCAAACGATATTATCACTTCTTTCTTACATATCCAATACATACAAATTATCATATTCTCCGAACAATTATCGAAGCACTTTAAATTACAAGAACAATAAAAAAGAATAACAGTTATTCTATATTAATTCTCCACAAAATTTCTTAACCCTCATCCGTCCCTCGTGTCAACTTGACACACTTTTCCGGTAAAAAATTGTATTTTTCGGCTATTTGTAGAAAAAGAATTTTCATTTTCTACATTTGATAAAATAATTTACAAAATTAATTATTTACCTATTCGTTTAATTGATTTTTTACCATTGTGTCAAATTGACACCGAGGGACCTATTAAGATTAGAAACTGAGGGACGGATGAGGGTTAAAAGAATTAAAAATAAAAATGAAATTTCTGTAACTTCCTATATAACAAGACATTGTGAAAAAACATTCAAAAAATATTAGAAAATTAAATTAGAAAGTTAAAATATAAAACGATTGACAAGCACATTTCACAACGAAACTAGCAAAAATATTTTAACGTATCCACATTTTTATCAACTTCAAAATTAACAAGAATTCTCACAGAGGGGACCAAAACCGTTTCAGGCCTCGGTTTCTCATTTCGGTCCTACTCCTCTCTATTACGGCAGAAAAAAACAGTCAAACGACAAAGGGCGTAACGAGGATTCTTCAATACAGCGTACGGCTCATATATCTCTTATCAACCATTAGCTGAATCCATCCTCGGGACGCTGGTATATCTGTAATGGCATATTTGCCGAGCAAGGGACATGTTTGTCCGTTCGTCCAGTTCTAACAGAAAACTTTCCTCGTAAAATAACGTCTCTGTATATACACACAGAGAGAAATCGTCACGCTACTGTTCTCCCGGATACATTCGCAAGGAGGAGCCTGCTAGCGATTCATTCTACCAATGAATATCCATAACCTTGGCGGGGGCCGTAGATCAGTCGGTCGCTTGAAAGCATCCGTAGATCATCCGTCTCGTCTGGAATTCCATGTTTGATTCTCGCTTTCAGCAACGGTTTGTCCGGTTCACAGCGATTAGATTCTCCATTTAAGCACGTCTCCCTTCCGCCCCTTCTATTTTCCTCGTCGCTGCCTTATTCCCTCTCTCTCTCTCTCTCTTTTACCTCGTTCTTCTTGCACCTCCTTTTTTCTCTTAATCGCTTGCACACAGTCTACTTGGTCGTTTTCCCTGCGCTATTTGCATCCGTTTTAGTGGATTCTTCAATGGTGGAAACCATTGCTCGAGAAGCCGTCTGTCGTTTGTTTGCGAAACGTGGTCGCAGGATCGATGGAAGATTCCGGTGATTTAGAACGGCTGAGATAAGGTATTGGGAAAGTAACGCGATTCTTTGTTGGGAAGGTGTCGAATGATGTTTATGCTCTGGGAAATGTTGAGTGTGTTCAGAGCTCTGTGTCATGCACAATGGATACATCATTTATGCATTATGCATTGTTAATTGTGTTTTGAAAATTTTTAATTAGGTCATTTCGTTTTGTGGAAAATTGCGAAACCGTTTGCGAGAGTTCCCGAAGAGAAAGTTGTGAGAATCCCTGATTTTTCATGAAACGAAATGACTTTGTGCAGCACATCCTTGAATTCGTCCCAGAAAATTATAAGAAAATCATATTATAAAAAAAAAAAAATAGCGTTCCGTTTAAAAACATTAACATGACATTGAAATTTTCCCCGCTACTTCTCTCGAAAAAATTATTTATAGTATTACACCTGTATGAAAATTACAAATCGTTAACATTCTACTTCTTTCACTGAACCTACCCTCATTTCTTTTACCCGAAGTTTTTACTCTAATTATTCTTACTTTTACTCTTATCTACTTGTAGACACCTTTTCAACACTAGAACTACCGACCGGGTCAAAATGACCCATTAGCATCTTTCGAAAAAACGTGAATGTTCAATACTGGTCAGTATTATCGTTTGTAACTTTCCGAATTTATTTTCTACATGTATGCTTCTATTTGAACGGATATGAATTTTCCAATCACGGTTCAGTTACATAAAAATTCATTTTTGGAAAGTCGCTAATGGATCGTTTTGACTCGGCTGGTAGTTCTAGTGTTAATTTATTTTACACATTAATCACAAATACGTCGTTATATTGTTATAATAACACCGTCTCTAGGCTTTTAAATTCAATAATACTTTATTTAGGCGCAAAAATGACACGACGAATAATCGACAATTAATGTTCCGTACCGAACATTTTTTTTTGTCTATTTTCGCATCGAGCCTTTCTCCTTTTATTTTTATAGCTTAAGGAAATTGTAAGACGGGCCTGAAGAATCCGCGACCCATAGGATTAGCCGGGGCCGTTATTAAGCGCGTACCCTCGGTAATTTCACCACCAGAACTCAGTTTATTAACCATTGTCCCGATTTTCCAATTACTGAACTAGTGTCTTCCTTCTCTCATGTCCTATCTCCTTTTTTTCGGAATTCCCCAAAACCCCGACACCTCATCCTTCTACCACCACCTTCTACCACCACTTCCCACCACCACACCCTACGACCAATACTTAATGTTCTTATTTCTCCCATTTTTCACTTCCAAAATTAAACTCCGCCCTCAGTAGCTGAGATGCGTGACTTCCTCTGAATTTCGAATCAGTATCATTCTGAACGTTAAACAACCAAGTATTGAGTCAGTCCGAGCGCTGAACGCATAATCAAGTCGTTTATATTATAACGTTGGAGAAAGGGTATTCCGGGATCGCTTCAGACCTCGTTAGAAAACAGTCCGATTTTTCTCTCGTGATCCAAGTTTGAAACATAACTCAAACCGACGCGAGTACACGACAATTAACGAGCAAATTATAATTCCGCAAACAAATACGATAAAAAGGGAAAAGTTGAAATAACAGGGAAATATTGCACGGACAACAATAACTTTATCTTTGAACTATCGTATATCGACAAATGAGTCGTGTGACATTAGAGACATTTCGATGGGAATTGCGATTTTATGGTAATCGATGCGGAGCCGTAAATCGTGTTTATGGCATAACGGGATTCCTGTTTCGTTTCAGGTGGCCTGGATGCTTTTCGACAAGAGCGCCATCCTGACAGTACAAAATCATGTTATTACCAGGAACCCCAGGATATCCGTGTCACATAAGCATAGGACCTGGTTCCTACATATCAAAGAGGTTCAGGAGGACGACAAGGGAAAGTACATGTGCCAGATTAATACGGCAACCGCGAAAACACAATATGGCTATCTGCACGTCGTAGGTGAGTTGCTTTTGAATATCGTCGTAACAGTAGATTTGTTGAAAATGAAACGCGAATGAAAATGGTAAGAGGATTAAGCAAAATCTTCGTGAAACGTCGATTAGAAATTGCAGATAAAGTCGTTTAACATAAATTTACTTTTTACACTATTCAAAATAAAGTTACAATGCACTAAATAATTTTAGAACAATTTTATATTAAAAACGCCTTTAGTGTTGATATATTGATCATTAATAACTGGAGATCTGATTTATAGCTGCATAATTAGATTTAATTTCAGAAGGTTTCTTAAGGGATTATCAAAAAGAGAACAATCTTTCATTGCAAATATTTTCTAATAAAATTTGATAGAAATGATTAACGTTAAAATTAGTATTCTCATTTTTAGATGTATTGGATCTACACTATAAATGAATCACGTATAACTGCATTGATTATCAAAAATAATTGTTGAACAGTATACAGGGTGTTATCTGCAACGCGACGCACGATTTTTCACCCACTTGCAGCTATCTGACAAAAAAAAGTTTAGCACAAGAGTTGCAGGGTACGGAGTGTGCAATAAATATCAGTGAAAGAAATTTCGAAAACAGTTTGTTTTCATAGCGAAATCAAGGTCACCTTGAGTTTTACAAATAGGAACACATATTTTTTTTCTTACCATTTTTTTGTGGACATCGGGACGAATTCAAAACACATATATAATATTTTTACTAACATATTTCTATTACTTTTTTTTTTAAATTAAATAAAGTGCATTTTTCTTATCTCCTAGTCGCGTGTTTACATTCAGTAATCTCTTCGGTGTCAAATAACGTTTACACTGCCTTAAAGTCAAATATGTACGGCGAAAAGCTAATTCGTCTCGATGTCCACAAAAAAATGGTAAAGAGAAAAATTCCTATTTGTAACACACAAGGTGACCTTGATTTCGCCATGCAAACAAACTGATTTCGAAATTTTTTTACTGATATTTATTGTACACTACATACCCTGCAACTCTTGTTCCAAACTTTTTTTTGTCAGATGGCTGCAAGTGGGTGAAAAATCGTGCGAAAAATTAGCAGTATTTTCCTGAGTCTTTTGTTTGCATAATGACCATTTTTTAAAAATTAAACAACTCATTGATATCGCCTTTTTAACGATACAGTACATACTTCAATTATAGAGAACGAACTAATTGTAAGTTATTACCCGATAGTGAGCCTTGCCTTTCAATTATCATGTTCACGTTGAAATAACGAGCGCAGTTCGTTCGATTCACGTCTGTTCACGTTACGTTCGACACGTTTGTATATACACCGGGTATGTACTATCTCGTAGTTCGTTTCGCAACCCGTGATCTCACTTTCAATCTTTTGTGTCGTAATTTTCATACGGTGCATTATAATTACCCTGCTCCCGTTTGCTTTCTGCTCCGCGGACTAATTAATGCTCGTACTTTTATGACGCGAACGCCTCTTTAATTACGTAAATATGTAACGCCCAAATGATTTTCATATTTGCATCAAGCAGAGTGCAATTTCCTAACGAACGCGCGTTTTCAAATATTATATTTCACTATGGATATATCAGACTTTACGTGGAAATGTGCGGCGGATTCGTTGTGAAATGAGGAAAGGTATAGTTTGTGGAAGAGAAGTATGGCAGCAAGGAAGGTTAGAAAAGAAAAGAAGGTTAATCAGGTACTGTTAGGAAGTTGGAAAGGGAAATACATTTCATTCTGGGTTTCATGTTGTTAGTGGACTTGTTACGCGACGGATTCCTTGTGAAATGAGAAAAGGTATAGTTTGAGGAAGAAAAGTATGGCAGCAAGGAAGGTTAAAAAAGAAAAGAAGGTTAATCAGGCACTGTTAGGAAGTTGGAAAGGGAAATACATTTCATTCTGGGTTTCATGTTGTTAGTGGACTTGTTACGCGACGGATTCCTTGTGAAATGAGAAAAGGTATAGTTTGAGGAAGGAAAGTATGGCAGCAAGGAAGGTTAGAAAGGAAAGGAGGTTAATTAGGTATTATTAGAATGTTGGAAAGAGAAATACATTTTATTCTGGGCCTCTTATTCTTAGTGGACTTGTTACTAAGAGTATAGTCAGTGGAAGAAATATAGTATAGTCACAAGATCGGTCAGGCGTCAAAGTTTACACGTTCGAGTCTATCAACAAGCGATTCAACAGAAGCCTGAGAAGTGCTCGAAATTTCAGTCAGGGTTCCATGAAGTGTATAGTCGATGGAAGAAATATAGCGAGGTCGTAAATTCACTTAGGCGTCAAAGTTCGAGTATATCGATAAGCGATTCAATAGAAACCTGAGAAAGTGAGGACCCGAAATTTCAGTTAGGGTTGCATGAAGTATGCTTTAGCTTTAATCCAGTCCCAATTGAAAAACGTAAAATGGCGCATATCGAACCTGAGTGCCATTGCATAAATCGGTCCCTCTATATTTCTTTCAACGACTATACCAACGAGATCAGTGTTTTCTGCAGCATAGGAAATATGGTCACAGAAGTGTACGAAATTTTGAATATTAAAGTGGTAAATTTTGAAAAATAAGGGAAGTTAAGAAATTGCTCTTGGAAGCTCTAACTATGAACAAATAAATTAGGTAACATATTAAATGGGGCATTTTAACATTGAAACGCCTGAGAAACCTAATTCTGTGAAAAATTGACAGGTCAGGAAGCAGTTTATTTGTATAAATTGTTAATAATCATGATTTTTCAGTACAAAATATTCGAGCTTGGCTAAATTTGCAAGTTTGGGAACTGTAGTTTATTTCGAGATACACACAGCTAACTCAACAAGACTCTATTCGCGGGTTAGCTGACGCACACGGACTAAATGATGTTTCTTACAAGATTAATTTATTACCGCGGTGTTTATTGTATGAAAACAATTTTCCAACATTTCGGTACTGAAAATCGCACGCAATACTATTAATTCTACTCCTATTCTATTCGATTAATTCTAACATTGCCAATATAGCAAATGTAGAACATTTAATTCTGTCTTCCCAAATTTCTCCCATCTCTAATTATTTCAAGACGAGACAATAACAACATTAGCAAAGATTGCGCAATATTTGTCTATTTTCAAACGAACGAAAAGCGCATTAAACAATCGCGTCTACCCTTAAAACCCATTTAGTTTCAATACATAGCACGTGACCGTCCTACCAGAACTATTATCCCACAGGATATTTCACAAATCCTTTCACATCCGAGCGATCTGAATAGCCCCCATTCCCGAACACAGTCGAATTCCGGGTCAAAGGAGAAAGTATACCGGCGTCCCACCGAAAGGACAGGGCAATAATAATTTAATCAGCAGAGGGTATCCGTGAGTCCTGAGGAGCGAGCGCGTCGGGGTGAGTCGGTCTTCGTTCTGCCATCCGGGAGAACATATTAATATCTCGAGTTTTGACGTCTGAAGTCGTCGGTGGAGCCGGAGCTCAGTCGTTTGCCGGTCGGGGGGAATGGTGGGGATGGTGCAGTAGTCGGAGGAGTAATCAGAGGGCTAGATTAATTGTTTCCACGGGACTCTTGGCCTGGCGTAGCACAAATACACAGAAGACTTCGAAGCGGTACTTCGTGATAATGCCGACGGAACAGACACAATGCAAGCCCTGCCATAACTCAGGTCCTCGCCTCTCTCACTCTCTCCTCTCTCTCTCTCTCGCTCGTGTTCAGCTGGGTGTAGAGCACGCGACGAGAAACGTGTAACGTGTGTAAATATTCCATACGGACTGAGTCACTTAAAGTTACAACCTGAGGCGTTTACCCTGCTGGCTGAGCTAATAAACGCTTTTCAGGAGTTCGACGATTTCGATGAGCCACACTAGGGTGGTGGCGCGAGCGCGGTTCGCCTGGATTCCCGTGTAAATTATCCGGGAATCGTAACCGTGCCACGTTTCGATTGTTGCCGCGCTGTTTACCCGCCGCTGAAGCACGTTTCTCGCGCGCCACCGCCCCGGATACCCGTTTCAAGGAGCAGCCCGGAACACTCGATTCGCCGGGAATAAATTTCGTCAGGAAGCTCGCCAGGGAATGGCCCGGCTTCTACGGTTACTGCTAGTCGATGGTTTTAGTCGGGTGGTTTCTTCGAGGAGCAGCATTCTTTGTCCGGATAAAAGGAATTGTCGTTCGTATGAGGGATACTGGAGATCTGGGTTATGTTGTGGATAGGGAAATGGTGATTTTGGGTTGGAATATGTTAAGAGGGAGATTAGGGGAATATTGTAAATGGGAGACGTGGAAATTGAGCATTCGTTAATAGGAGAACACTTCAATTAAGTAAAAATGTAGTGGTATCATATTTTTTCTGTGAAGAATTTATAAATTCTGATATGAATTGTAAGATTGGAATAAAGAGAAGTAGTAATTTATAATTTTGTGTGCGCTAGAATACGTTCATCTTTGCTGGGATTAAAGTGTATGCTAATATTTAGATTTTTGAAATTTTTAGTAAAAATAATTTATTGTTAATTATACTTTTGTCTTTCATATGTTTCATAATCCATTAAACAATATAATTAGTTTATATTATGCATTTGCAGAGGTTCCTTTAGTAAACTAAGAGATTCGGCATGTGTCTGACCATATACGGGACAAACTACTTGTTTTCAATAGGAATCTAAATTAGCGACTTACACTCCTGTTACTAAAATTGCAAGGAAAATAATGGTATTTATAAAACGTGCATGACAATATCCGAATACTTCGTTTACAAAATAAATATTTTAATTACACAAATTAAACAAATTTCTTAGTTTAAACATGTAAATGTTTTGAACATAAAAATGCACTTGTTACGGAATACATAATTGTTTACCCCAGAAATTTGTCATGCTTCGTTCTACATTTTGCTCAAAAATTGCAAGAGCACCTAAACTGTTCTAATCTCTACCACCACGTGCACCAATAACATCCTCTCCTCTGCGCACGCAGAAAACGGTGAAACGATTGCCGCTCAGCACATACAACTTTCATTAGGTTATCCCGTTTGA